ATTTTCCTCATGCCTTAGAAGTGGTCAGTAGTAGTAAGATTACTTGAAATGGGAGCATTCTCCCTTGCCAACAGAAAGTATACCTTGAGAGTCCAATGTTAATACGTGGTAATGAGAACCAAGTTAAAACTATCAAATTAGCATAAAATTCGTCTCTTCTGAAGGGCACAAAGGAGGTTGTGGCACAACATTTGCACGCATACAGTGATTTGTTTAGGTTATGGATCCTAGAACAGAATGCAGATGTCGGTTCACACTTGATGCAAAATACGAGCCCCTTATTCTTATTATCTGTACCTTTGTATACAGTAATTTTTCGTGAGTACAAATAAGTCATTTACTCAAGTCATGTAGGATTCTTGTAGTTCAAATTATCGTAGTGGAATGTCCGCAACTCGCTCATATGTGAAACAGAACATAAAATTTCAAAAGGTCAAGAAAATTGAAAGTTTCACATTTAGAACTCAATTTAATTAAATTAATGACATTGGCCAGTGATAAATTCGCAATTTTTTGAGGTGATTAATGCTAGCAAATAATCGTGTACAAAGCCGTAAAGTTTTAAGGTGGCAAATAAAAGATATTTGCAAGCCCTCGTTAAGTGAAGCAGAGTGGGACTGAGAAATACATTTCTTTATGGGAAGTGGCATTTCACCATGACTGCAAAACCATTAAAATGCAGATTAAGTATAAAATTTGGGCAAATGTTTGCAGATGAAAAATATTGAGACATCCATTGGTTGAGTAATTATAAAATTAAACAAACTACTTTTTAATCGCAAACTAGTTTAATAAAGTGTGTGCTGCAAGGATACAAATTTTGCTGGGATTATTTGTAAAAAGACAATACAAACAGACGGCTTTTGGGGGATGGCGGAGACATTAAAAATCCATTACCCATTTCTCATTAACTTTGGGTGTTATTAATAATCCTAATTGAAATGCTTCATTTTGTGATAATTGTATGCGTTTAGTAGGAAAGTGAACAGCTTAACTAAGTCGACTAAATTTTTATGAAAAGGTTTTAACAAAAAATATTGACTAAGTGAAAAAAAGTCCGCATTTTCGCCGACACCCTAAGGACCTGAAGGCATTGGACCGTGGTAAAAGTAAATTTTACAAAATTTGCGCCAGATTTATTGATTCCAGAATGACAAAATACACGGAATTATTAAAACGTTAATACTTAAGTAGTTAGATATGACAGGTTTTGTCATTAGGGATGAAAAGACGTTAATACCAAAATTCGATTTATCCGGCACAACGTTACCAAAGTGTAAAATTTCATTTTACATTCAGCACAATCAAACGTTACATATAAACTGAGCCTGCAAAAAATGACGAAATTTGAATGGTTTATATTTGTTGGGGCAAAAAGCGTGCGAACTTCGAGTTACGCAAAAAAGACTGCGACACAGATATTTCGATGGTTAACTTCACACTTTATGCGCAAAATTTTGTAAATATTTGCAATTGTTTCCATGTTTAACTACAGGCGTAACAAGCCTTCAGCGATTTATCAAGTTACTATCAGCAATTTTCACTGATCTAATCATTGCAAGGCCAAACCTATGACTTGTTTGGAATAGCTAAGTACCGAAGTAGCTACTAACAGAAACGTCAATGACATGTGTTCTGGAGACAGCAGACGCAGTTTGCAAATAAACAAGGCTGTTACTCTTGATCGGCTTTGCCCAGGAAAATATCCCTGATATGCTTAATTAAAAAAAACTGTTTTGAAGTGCTGAAGTACTTGTAAAGCAGATGAATCTTTAACAATGGTACCTGTACGTTGACAACCACCCACTATTAAAAGCAAAGAGGACTATTTTACATCCTTTTAGTTATCACCTCACGATGAATAAATTTGACGAATAAGTAAATGAGGTAAATAGAACATTCAAAACGTAATGTTAAGACCTAAATAAGATCACCGTTGTATTACTGAAAGCATTTTAAATTGTTCACTTGATCAGGCTATTGAAAAAAACAGCCGCCTGAAACCATTGCATTGCACACAAAATCATTAAACAACAGCAAATGATAAGTATTACAGGTTGAGTTAAGAAACATTTCCTCGAGTTGATGAACCATTGTAATTGGGCACCTTTTTAAGATATGGTACGTTTCATACTTAAAGAGAACTTAATATCGGAAAGCCACCGTTGTGTTAGGATTGATGGGGAAATTTGGCTTCCTTGCAATTAATTGGGAGCTTCTTAAAACTTGCACCGAGCCATGCATATTGGTTTGTAAATTATCCCCTACATATTATTTAATTTTCGGACTTGTAGATAACATCGAGTTAGACTTTAGAGGTAGTGTAAACTTTTTTAAAGGCAATATTGCCACTGCACTGCACTTGCAATACGTCCATGAAATGAGAAGGTAACCAAACAAGTGTCAACAATACCAAAAACGATTCAAGCCTAGCAAATTAGAATCATTTCACTATGTCTTTCATTAAGATTATCTGTGATTTAAAAAAACCTTAGACACATTAAAAATGCCTTGATGATACTCACGGGGGTTCTTCCACATCTTTCATATCGCGAATGGGAGATAGATTAGCGATATTGGAGTGAGCCATCGCCAGTGAGCTTTTACGTCTCAAACGCATTCTTGCCTCCCTGAGTTTGCTGAAAGTAAGATTTGGCAGCTTTTTTAGGAAACAACGCTAACGCGTTTTAAGTCTTCAAATAAATCTTAAACTAATTGGTTTGTAAAGCTTACTCCGAGGTTTGTGCCTTTTCGTCACCTGTGCCCTGCCTTTCGTCAGTCGCATCGCCCGACTGAACCAATGACGTCAGCTCCTGAAAGCAAAATAGCCAAAATGACAGCCATTCAAGCTCGAAAGCGTTCTCTAAAGATCTCTTAAATGAACTCACCCTTTTGGTTCCTGAGTCATCTGTTTGTGCGCTTGCCTAAATAAGAAAAGACACCAACTTTGGTAGGCAATTTAAATACACTGTTTGATAAAATTGTAGCGAAATCGAAGACCAAAAGCAAATTGTTCTATTACAATAATAAGGGCTAAAATCAGAAAAACCTGATTGGCGTCATTTGCAGAAAAGATACGTAATTATATTTGCAACGCTGAAAAATATTCCTTTACAGACAACATAAATACCTTGGGCGTGGTTTCAGGTTTTTGACGGAGGAGCAAAATGCCGATGAATTGTAGGGCTGCAAGAGAGCCTCCCAGCATCAGGAAAGCAGAAGGAACCCTGTCTAGGAGAGCATCGTTTTCAAAGAGTCTGAAACGGGAATGTGCCAGCTAGAACTACTACAAATATCAAGGCGGGCAGAAAACATTATTTTAGCTTACCTCGAAGCATTATTAATCATTACATTATCAGGATTTATATACATAGTTTGTATCGGAGTAAAGACTAGTGCACCTAAACCGAATCCACCGACAATCAATCCAACGATGAGTGCTCTGCGAGCAGGAAACCACTATAATAACAGACAATATAGGCATCAAACTCAAAGTTCAAAGACCCTTTCTAAAATGTTTACAAATGTAATCTTACTGATGCAGCAACCGAGAAAATAATGGCATAGGATAGACCAAATCCAAAACCAAGGGTGACAGCATACGTTATAACGACGTAAATAAAGCCCTTCTGAATCGTGAAGTATGTAAGAATAACGCTTCCACTGTTTATTAAAGATCCAATGATGACGACAGCTCTGTAGCCTATTTTTGGTGCCGCAGCGCCACCTAGCGGCATAGACAGGCCTTGCATTGCTAGCGCAATGGCAGAAATCCAGACTGCTGAGCCAGGATCAAGATTTGGATCAACACGTATTTTTAAATATGACATCATATAGGGTGTAAGATTACCTAAACCTAGAAAATACAAAAGTACGAACATACCAATTGTGTAAAAATGACCATACGTGAAGTGAATTAATATGCCACCGATAACCGATAGAATACCATATAAAATATCTTTTCGAAACGACTAGCAAGAAGATTAAAGACGAAGAGGGTACAACCATTATGGAGCTTCCACTTTTGATATCATAAAGCACGCGATATTTCAATGAGAGATCCTGAATGAAGTAAATTATATCATTGACGCGTTAAAACAAAGCATGACCCTTAGACAGATGGCACACGAATTTGCAACGCTTTTGCCTAAAAATTCGTAACTTTGAATAATGAAATATTAAAACATTCTAGTAGCGTTACTACTTACCTACTAGCAGCATCTGTTGAAGCTAATTTCAAAAATTATCTCAGGAAAGCCGAAAATATTGGAGATTCCCTGTAATTAATATTGCAGTGATGATACACCTTATTTTTCTAACAATTTATTAAAAACTAAAACCTTTAATAAGGTTGTTATTGTTTCCATCAAACGTCATTATTCCCAGCTCATATCTTCCATATGTATCAAGTTAGCATTAAGATTTGCGGACAATTAAACATACTGGACATTGGAAATTTGACGTGTGCACATATTTGCATTTAAATTAGACGCATAAATAATATAATATGAGTTTTGAACTTAACAGGGTAAATATTTTCACACAGTGTTTTAAATCATGAACCTTTTTGAGTCTGTGTTGCTATTAAAGTAGGACATATTCAATTTTGTTGCAATTTTAATGGAAGAAATGTCTGCAAAGCCCTAGGCCATTATTAGGTTTTTTGTGTATTTTTGCATTCTATCTGTATTAAGAAAGCCAATTAAATGCATTTGCCACTTTTAGAATCTTGTCACAGACCAAAGTACCCAGTTTAGTATATTTACTCAAAAAGGATCACTGTCCACCTCTTGACTGGATGTAAAACACCAAAACTTTGAGTAAAGATTATTAATTTTTAGACCAATAATAACCAACCTTCCTGATCGAGTTTACCAATCATACACGTGTCTGTCACTAATACCTATTCATAATTTCTTACTCATTATTTACCAATCTTAGAAAGGATTAGAAAAATGTGAAAAATGCCTTTCTCTAAACTACTCTGGACTCAAAAATTGCATAAGCTTAAGGCCGATTAAATATTCGCCAATGATAGCCACAGTCCTTTTGGCATTCAGCAAATTTGCAGAATAATTGCTTTCCATTTTGGGGCCATGTGCGTCTTGCCCGTACAACAAGCAAAGTGTTAATAGTACCAAGTAAATTCAGTTTTTAAACAATGAATAAAGAAGTAGAGACATAATGACGATATATTTTTTGATGCTGCTTAAAGGCTGTTAATTTCAATGTGTATTGTTGCTTTTCTTCTTGCCATCACCAAATATCCGAATTTAAAATTAACAAATATCAATCGGTAATCTAGCATGGTTTGGTAAGACTTACGCAGCAACCTTTTAAATGGAAATTTCTACTGGTATTGCAGAGAAGCCTTGACTCTATTTCAGGTGATAATATAAGTTCCCATTAGAAACAGAATATTAAAGAGATTATATTCTATCAATATGAAACTCAGTTCTCGTAAATGCTTAAACCAGTCGTCAATATAGGAGTGCTGAGTGTTTGCTAAAATTTACAAACAAAACGCTAACGACCAGGTTCATAGATGAATACTGGTGTTGAAATGTTCAGAGCAATGAAGTGATGAGTCAGTTCTTCAGACCTGTTAACGCATAGGACTGCGATTGACTAAATTTTGGGATGTTGGAAAAGCTCGAAGTGATTAATAGAGGTACGTACGTCGAAAGATATTCTTATAGATTCGTGGCTAATAAAAGAAATCCAACAGTAATGGCATTACGACTGATAAAATGAATCCAATGCACAAATGAAGTTCCACACTGCAGCTAAAGTGGACAGAGGCACTAAAAACATAGTGCTTGGTAAGATAAAGAAATGTGCTCAGATAATGACGGAGCTGAAATTAAAAACCACGTCTATCAGTGTGATGCTTACCAAAAGAAAAAAGCCTCTACAGACCGTAATAGAGCTAAGGCCTAAAACAATAGAAATGTCTCTTTGATTTAAGTCATAGAGTGCTAAACAGAATAAGACGCACCCTTTGTTTAATTAAAGGTAATTCGTATTGCGACGTATTATTCAAAAATTCTCAATTAAAATTTGTTCACCTAGAACCATTTATTTTCTATATTGTACGCCAATCGTTCCTCATTACACATAAATGCCAACCTATGGTCCACAATACGTGACAGACTAGATGCCAAGCACTCTAAATATAAGAGATCTCTTATTAGTTGAATGCCATTCCTAAGGATCAGTAAGCGTCATTTGTCCTATGTTTGGAGATATCTCCAATTTTAAGATTTTACTTACATGTTCTACTTGCTAATAAACAGTACGTCCATGCTACTCGTGTTATACATAAAATCAAGACAAATTATGGAATAAATATTTCGTAAGCGTTTATTTTTGTGAACATATTCAATAGGCTAGCTTGTCTCCATCATTGTAACCCCTTTCCCCAATTAATAGAAACAAATCTAATGAATTTGCTTCTAAATATATCATAATATGTATCTTGTATTGATCATGACAGTTAAGTAAATACTTTTGCGAAATAATCAACGGTATACGGAATATAGTTTCCGCCACCCATTACCACACAGCTAGTTGAATAACAACTGGTGTACGACCGACTCTTCAATGACTCACATTAGCCCCTGATAAATACAGAAACATTCATATTAATAATACCAATCTTTAACACAAAATAAATTTCTGTCCTAACGATCAGAAGTCCACGTATTTTTGAAATACAAGCTGAAAAATTGAGAGCATTTTAACGTATGATTGCACAACGTAACGACCAAATACAAAGGAAGTGAATGTATCATGGAATTCTGGGAATGCTTATTAACACAAAATACGTGACTTGATATCAAAGTCAAGTAAAGAGCACTCGAATTCATCAAAACACAGTTCTAACTTTCGTTGTTCGGTATGTCGCAGGACAGCCGCTTCAGCGATTGCTTGCAGGCATCAATGTTTGCAACGCATGACCCAATCTTCTGGAATCCATTCATTATGTCTAAGCCAAGCTCCTGTGTTTTCGCGTCGGTATGCTTTTGTTCGGCTAACGCCCGCGACTCCAGTTCATTAAATAAGCAATTCACCTACTTTTAAGTGTAAAATGAAAAATAATACCTGTTCGATTACGTACTCTCGACATGCGTGAAGATTTTCCCAAAATGAAGCTCTTGAATGCTCTAAATGTTCCATTAAATCATTAGAACGAGCTTCGACGACTTTTTTGAATGCTTCAAATTGAGCAGAGCAATTTCCCGAATCATTCATGTCCATTGATTCAGAATTCATGCTAATAAAACCAATAACGTTATAGCAACGCTAATTTGGGTGAATAAAATAATGCAACTTAACAGAAATAACAGGCTGCATACTTTGAAAAAGACTTAAAATTGTACGTTTACCAAGAAAGGCAAGCATACTTCAATCACAAAATGCTTCAAAAAATATCATAAATATTTGCTATATCAGTAAAAAGAACTGAATAAAATTTGCGGCAAGTCGAATGGCTAAAAAACCTTAAAATATGAAAAACAGCGCAATATATAAAAAATACTTCAGAATAGTGCCAGGTTCTCCACCCAGTAAAACAAACAAATTCAAAAATTAAAAGGCTGCATAAATATATCTAAAAGGTTTTGTTTTAAGCAAAAAAGAGTTATACAAATAATCGAAATAGTCTAATAAAATATTGGTAATTATTCGTAGAATTTACCAAAAGAGAACTTAAGTAATAAGAAATCACTTAATGTTCGTTGCAGCGAGGCCTAACAGCAGCTGTTTTTGAATGACGTCCATATACTCTAAACTTACGAAATTCAAATTGACTTTAATCTTATGTTAAACAGAATATTTTGTGCATCCACTGACTAACTACTATACAATTTTTTTTTAAATAACATACGAATGAATGACAAAACTTACATTGCTGATTATTTTAACCACGCTTCTTTGCGATAATTTTAAAGATTAGTCATTGGTTCTTTAAAAAAAACATGGGGAATATATCTACAAGACGGTAATTGCGAAGATCCATGCAAGGCCTTGATATTTGGTTTGAACAACCGCTAAAACCAATTGATTGACGACCCAAATGGACCTCGAAATACGAGGCTACTCTATATAGAACATTAATTTTAAATGAGCTTCAGAGTTAAATTTATTTAAGGCCTTAATGATGTTAAACCTAATAGAAATCATCGAAGTTATTTAATTTTGGCCACAATTAAATCATTTGAAAAAAACATGTCAGGCCGCCACACCACCACAAATGTTTTATTTATTATAATATCTTTCCCCTGAAGATTTTACTAACGTTACTGTATAGAAATGACCCGTCTAAGTTGTAGTGGTTATTTTACGTGCTCGCACTTAACATTGATAATGTGTTTAAGGGTTGGTTTTTCAAGATTTAAATTATAGTGCTGAAATTTAGGGATGTTTAATGTCTAAATCTCAATGCTTCCGAATCTCAAAAGCTTAAAATGGTTTTGGCAGAATTTTTTTTATGTTATTATAACTGACTCAATGTATTTCTAACTTACGACTATTTTCCGTTGTTTGTTTTGTTTGGATGTGTAATAGGGCTGCGTGTAAGTGAATAATCCAGTACAGTATTTAACTAAACGCTATTATTTAATGTCGCTTTGTAGTGTCAGCATATTGTTTAATGCAACCGTTGATAGAACCAAGTCGAAAACTTAACTTATGTTTTTCATTTGGGGTTTTGAATAAAAGGATGATTTGACAGTTGTAGGATTGCTAAGCAGTTGCGGCTTTTAAATTTGAAGACCTAATAAAAAGAAGGGAGGCTCAACTAGGCAAAATTCAATTAATGAAGAAGCCAGAACCCTTATTCAGCCGCCTTTCCTCTCAGTTCATTCTAGTAAATCCTCTTACATACGTGACTCTGGTTGTCTGCAGATCTTCCTCTTCGCCGATTCTAACGCCCAAGGACAGCGGATTGGCCGAGGTCGGTGTTGTGTGATGTGTCTGCGCTCTCGTATGTCACTTAGAGAATACCCAATCTCCAGCATGAGAAAGATTGGTACAATCGTAGACCACAACAAAACGCTATTCACCATCCACCGAAGTCCATCGTCATGGCTACATTCATTTAATTATATACTGCTTCTCATACGTGTCTCTCTCCAAGGCTGGCTTCTTACCTTCCTCACATGCTACTGAAACAAAGAGACAGAATTGATTGAGTCGGACGTGGTTAAAAATGTCTGCACGCTTAGACGTAGCTGCTGTACAATATCCGAGTCGTAGCATGAATAAGACTGGTACAACAGAACAGGCTTTATTGACCAATCACAAGCCAGAGGCACACGCCAGGCGCCTTCCATCCGAGTCCCCGACACTGGCCACGACGATCATTATATGCTGCTCCTTAGTCGTGTCCTTCTCTGGTTGGCTGCTTATCTTCCTCGCATGCCATTGGAACTCAGAGAGACACAGGATTTGCTGCGGCCAGGTGGTCCAACATGTCTGCGCCCTAATCTGAGGCCACACTGCCTCCCCCTCAGCAGTGAAGCTGTCCTCAGCTTCTGGCTTGGTTCACCGCACTGTTGTTGATATCCAGTGTTTGTAAAATATCCAGTTCGACACATCCTGCACTC